CAACCCCCAACTGCTCCCTGGGCGCCGCAGCATAAAGGGCTGCCCAATGTTCACGGTGTGTGTGTGTGCACTGCTGTGTGTGTGCACTTAGGATGGGTTAGATGCAGAGCACTAATTCCAAGTATGGGTCACCATACTTGGCCACATGTCACGTCACTTTCACAAAAAAAAAAAATGAAATCATCTTAAAGGCTGTACAAATGCTACATTGATATATAAATAAATACTTCACAGTTTAAATAATCTTTCTGCATAGCAGTCATGAGAACTGGGGGGAAATTATTTTATGATCATAAAAATTGTAATGTTCCTAAAAATTTCATTTCATTTTCTTCTGATTTTTTTGGGATGACCTGATAAGGTAATGAAATTCACTCTTTGTTCGTACTGATCATATGTATTGCTGAGGTTTCTGGGTTTTGGAGGTTGAATTCAGGTTTTTGTGTTTCTCGGCAGAATCTCCATGACACGTGGCCGATGCTTCTGAAATGATGCACACACAGAAGAAAACATGAAGAAACTGTAGAGTTACTGTAGAACACACTTTATGTTTCATCTTCTACAGAAGCCAAAATGAGTTTGTGTGACCTCAGGCTCTCATGGTGTCAGATGTAATACTGATAAACAGCAATGGAAAGAGGAACTAACACTGAGATAATTTAATCTGTTCAGTGGTCTGTCTTTTACAGTTATGAAACATGTTTCTTTACAACTTAAACTTATGTGAGAATAAACTCACATAAAGCAGTATATATATGCCTTAAGATTAGAGCTGGACGATAATATAGTGACATTTTGAGACTTTACAAGCAACTGCGATTGCTTGATTGCTTCTAAAGTCTCAAAATGTCACTATATTATCGTCCAGGTCTAATCTTAAGGCATGAAGATATTAAGATATTATAAACATTATCATGATTTTCTGTAAAGCTGCTTTGAAACGGCGTGTATGTAAAAAGCACTATACAAATAAATATAACCCAGGATTAAGAGATAAAGGCCTATTCATACCATTAATTAATTAATTTAAATAAAATATACTGTGTGTGTTTACTATATTCTTTTAGTTGATATGAAAAGCAGTTGTTGATCAAATGGGAATGTGAAATACTATTATAGTTTTTATTAGGGCTGCCCTCAACTAAAGATTTTTCTAGTCGACTAGTAGTCGTTAATTTTAGCAATTAGTCGACTAATCGCACGAGGGTTCACACACACACACACACACACACACACACACTCACACTCACACACACACACACACGTCAGGTTACAAAACATACAGTCAGACGCAATAACCAACAGTAGCATTACTGTTTGACAATCAGATCAGAAGTCTTTTATTTCAGTATCATTGAGATACAATTATAGTTTTTATTCATATTTTAAATTATTATTATATATATATATTTTACATTTTCATTTTAACTTTGGTTAGTTTTAGTGATTTTTAAATGTTTGTATATAGCTTTAGTTTTTATAATATTTTATTTCAGTTTTTTAGTACATTAAGTTAAACTAAATGAAAATGAGAAACGTTGCTTTGGCAACCAGCTGAAATTAAATATTTAGTTTTAGTCATTTTATTATGTGTTTTTTTGGTCACTTTTATTTGTTTAAGTTTTTTAATGTTTTTTTTTGTTGTTATTTTAGTGCATAAAGTTAAGCTAAATGAAAACGAGAAATTGTGACTTGGCAACTAGCTGAAATAAAATATATTTTAGTTATTTTTTATTTTTTTCATGTTAATGTCAGTTTTAGTTATTTAGTTATTTTAGTTATTTTGATTGTTGGTTTGTGTTACTCTATAAACAATCATTCTGTTTGATCAAATGATACACATCAGTTTGATGATATCAATAGAAACAGATAAAGATCAAGTTAAAATATGAAAATGATCTTCCAGTTGAAGTCCTGATGTTAGCAAACTGATCAATGACTGACTTTAGCTCTTTATCAACGTCATTTTGTAATTAATAAAACTAAAATGTCTTTCTGTAAATCTGTTTTAGGCATTTATACAAATACTGTTACAAACACAAACACAACACAAGCATGAATCACACTAATGTTTGTTAGTTTGTAAAACCATAAAAACCATTTAAGATAATTGAATAAATGTTAACTGAAATAAAATATCATTAAAAAAATTTTTTAATAACATATTTTTTAAAAAAAAGTAAAATTATTTTTGTTCAGCTAGTTGCCAAAGCAACATTTCTAATTTTTATTTAGTTTAACTTGAAGTGCTAAAATAACTAAATCTAAATAAACTAATTAAAAAGAAATAATAAAAACTACATAAACATATTTAAAAATAAAAACTAATAAAAATCACAAAAACATACAACAAAATAACTAAAATTCTCAAAATAAAACAGAAAGTAAAATCGAATAAAATTTTAGATTTTATTTACATTTTTAAATAATTAAAATGAAAAATAAAAGTCTAAAAAAATAAAAATCTAATTCAAAATATTAACAAAAACTATGACAGTATATCAATCATATGAAAATAACAGTATCTACTTCAGACTTGATTCTCTTCAAAGCATGTTTCTAAACAAAATGTAAATGTTAATATGTGTGTTGTTGTCGTTTACCATGAATTTAGCGTGATTTACGTTCCAGGTCAGCGACGTGAGGCTTCTGTTTCCGAGGTCGACGACTGAATCCTCGATGATGTACACCGAGCGCGACAGATTTCCGGGGAAGACGCGCTCCGCCCAGCGAGGGAGACGATTGGTCTTCGTCAGGAGCCGCCGGGACAGGAGCCGGTTATCCGGCGTCACCTCGCGGAAAAGTACGTCCTCCGTCAGAACGTGAGTGCTGAGAGAAACACGCTCACAGTGTCATATAGTGCATAAAACAATCAAATACATACAACAGAGAAATATGAAGCCATTGATTTAGATAGGCTGCTCAGCGATGGATGCTCTGCAGTGAATGGGTGCCGTCAGAACGAGAGTGTGATAAAAACATCACAATAATCCACAAGTAATCCACAGTACTCCAGTCCATCAGTTAACATCTGGAGAAGACAAAAGCTGAGACAAATCCAGCATTAAGACGTTTTTAACTCAAATACATAGAATCCATAATCCATAATAAGGCTTCCTCCAGTGAAAAAGTGTTCTGGTGTGAATCAGGAGAGAAATCTGCACAGATCAAGCAGCGTTTAAACAGCTCTAAACAAACATGTGGCTGGATTTTGATGTGAGAGACAACAGCAGATGCACTTTTTCACTGGAGGAAGCCTTATTATGGATTATGGATTCTATGTATTTGAGTTAAAAACGTCTTAATGCTGGATTAGTTTCAGCTTTTGTCTTCTCCAGATGTTAACTGATGGACTGGAGTGCTGTGGATTACTTGTGGATTATTGTAATGTTTTTATCAGACTCTCGTTCTGACGGCACCCATTCACTGCAGAGCATCCATTGCTGAGACACTGATGCAATGCTACATTAGAGACAAACTCATACCTGTATGGGTTGGGGTATCTCTGCCAGAAGGCCGTCAGCACCTGCTCCCACGCGCTCTTGATGTCGGTCTCGCTGAAGAAGTGCTTCCCAATCATCACGAGCCCAGCAGAGCCCCAGCAACAGAGTCCTGAACAGAGGAACCATCTCATATGAAGGATCAGAGCTTTCACACAGAGAAGTTACTGCGTTCATAGACCATGGGATTTACATACTGAAAAACACTTTTGGTAACACTTTATTTTAAGGTGTCCTTGTTACACATACTTACTATTATAATAACAATTAATTATGCATAATTACATGCAAGAAGCCAAACCCAAATCCTAACCATATAATAAGTACATAGTTAATTAATATTACTCTGTAGGTATATGTATAATTACACTGTAACAAGAACACCTTAAAATAAAGTGTAACCATACTTTTTTT